TTGTTGAACCTCATCAGGTTCCTCTCTGCCCAACTTTCCATCCTGTCCAGGTCACACTGAATGGCAGCACAGCCTTCTGGTGTATCTACCACTCCTCCCAGCCTGGTGTCATCAGCAAACTTGCTGAGGGTACATTCTAACTCTTCATCCAGGTCATTGATGAGGAAGTTAAACAAGGTTGGGTCCAGTGCTGACCCTTGGGGGACACCACTGGTTACCAGCCTCCAACTAGACTCAGCGCCGCTGATGACAACCCTCTGAGTTCTGCCTTTCAGCCAGTTCTCTATCCGCCTCACCGACCACTCATCCAGCCCACACTTCCTGAGCTTCCCTAGGAGGATGTTATGGGAGACAGTGTCGAAAGCCTTGCTGAAGTCTAGGTAGACAACATCCACGGCTCTCCATCTACCCAGACAGTCATGTCATTGTAGAAAGCCTTGAGATTGGTCAGGCATGATTTCCCTTTTGTGAATCCATGCTGACTACTCCTGATAACCTTCTTTTCCTCCACTTGCTTGTTGATGACCTCCAGGATAAGCTGCTCCATCACCTTTCCCGGGATGGAGGTGAGGTTGACCAGCCTGTAGTTCCCTGGGCCCTCCTTCTTGCCCTTTTTGAAGATTGGAGTGACATTGGCCTTTCTCCAGTCCTCGGGTACCTCTCCTGTCCTCCAGGACCTCTCAAAGATAATGGAGATTAAGCTCTTTCTCTTTAGCAACGTGTGCGTGCATGGGTTTCCTGTGCAGTCAGTGTCTACAGTAAGAGGTAGAGGGCAGGAGCATTTCGTGTGAGCAGGTCCTTTGGAAAGCTGAAGGCATAGGTGACAAAGATAGCTATATTAGAAATGTATTTTGAAGGTGGGTGTTTAAAAGATGTTGTTTAAATTTGTTTGCAGAAGACAAAGATAGAGCAGAAAACTCCAATGTCTGTACAACATGCCTTTACATAAATATGTAATTGCACACATCTGAGGTAGTGTTTTATTTTTTTGTGTGTATTACGGCAGTTTGTCTTTGATATGAAATTAGACTCTATAATGTTGGAATTCCTTGTGCGTCAGGGAATAATATAGTCTAATGGCACAGGGTTTACCATAGCTGATTGCATTTCCTGAATCAATTATTCAGTTCAGCTTCTGAAAATAAGGAGTAGTTTAGAAGGCCAGTAAATTTGCCAGCAGTGCATTTACTTAGTTATGCTATGCTATAGACATGAGGAATCTTTAGGAGACAGGTATAAAGTAAAAAGATCAATTTGAGTATATGTTCTTGTCAGCCAAATTTATCCCACCTAATAACAGCTTATTAGAGTTTGACTTTTAGATTGCTGCTGAAATTTCTTTACTGGTTTGGGTATTTTTTTGTTAACTGTACTAACTTTCAAGTGTTGTACTTCCGTACACACCAAATCTTATGTTTCAGTGCAGGATTAGGAAGTAAGAATTTATGATTCCTAAAATGGGTCTGACAGATCCTTTAGTTCTACAAAAATGCTGGGCAGTGGGTAGGTGACAGAAAACAGGAGAGAACGGGAGATTGACATGAAGGTTTGGTACACTCTCTGATTGCTCTCTGTAGGAGGATTTGCAGATTGATGTGGTTTGGGGCATATGTGAATTGAGGATACTTGGGGCTTAATAAAATCAGTTGTGTAACCTTGAATGTCAACTTCAAGCTACTGACCAAGCCCACTATGTAGGCATTTTGAACTGCTAGCAAAACTACTGTAAACTGCAGCAGATTAAAGATTTGCTATCTAGTCTCTCTTTGAATTCCTATCAGATGTTTCTGTATTTAACCTGTGTTTAGAAAAATAAACATACAACTTGGATTAACTCCTTGACTGAGTTCAGGTAAGTGTTATTTTTGTGTGTTTTAATAAATGATACATTCCATTTCTATCATGTCTTTTCTTACAGCAAAGTTTTGTGGTGACCCTGGAATACCTGCTCAAGGGAAAAGAGAAGGCAAAAGCTTCATCTATCAGTCAGAAGTCTCTTTCAGCTGTAATCCTCCTTTTATTTTGGTTGGCTCCATCACCAGGATTTGCCAAGCAGATGGCACATGGAGTGGTTCTTCTCCTCGATGTATAGGTAAGGTTACATCCACATTACTGAAATTTCTTGAAATGCTTATTACTCCTTATCCTGTTAAGTCAGTTGAGGAGTTTTCAGCTATTTTGAATTATCCTGATATTATTTTATACTGTCTAAGAATCAAGCCACTTTTTTTTTGAGAAATGACACATTTTTGTTTCTATCATTGTCATGCTGTTGAACAAGCTTAATTTTGTGATACATTCCTGTATTTCTTTAAAATATTGTAATTTGGTTTGTCTTTAATTTATTGCAATTTTTTTTTTAAGAACCTACTCGCACAGCATGTGAAAATCCAGGAGTTCCAAGGCATGGGTCACAAAACAACACATTTGGCTATCAGGTAAAGTATACTATTTTTTATTAACTAGCATATTCAAATAATTTTATACTACCACAAAGTCTAGAAACTTCTGATTAGAGGTCCAGAAACTGCTCATGCCTTGTAAGAGCTGATTGCTAGAGTGTTGCTGAGTTTCCTTATTTCTAGCTGTTGGATTACAATGACCTTGTGCTCTTATTATCAATGCATTAGATGAAGCCCTGGTGATGAAATTCTTCTTTGTTTCACCTTGAAGGAGTTCAGTGTCTCCCCACCAATATGTGTGTTCCTTACTGTATCAAGTAGGCTTTTTCTCCTTAGAAGTGTGTATAGTGAGTGCCAAGCTGCTAGTGTAGATTTACTCTAAAAAACAGTGTTTTTGGTTGTTTTTTTTTTGTGAGAGCAATTCTGTTGTTACATTTAGAAATGCTGAAAACAAGTTTGTCTCCATCACCTTTCCTGCCCCCAGTAAGTTTTAATATACACTGGTAAGATTCCCCTTGAACCTTTTCTTTTGCAGGCTGGACAATCCCAGCTCTTTCAGCCACTCTTTGTTTGACAGATGCTTTAATCCCTTAATCACCTTTGTGGCCTATCACTGAACTCAATGCAGTATGTCCCTGTCTCTCTTGCACTGGTGAGCCCAGCACTGGACCCAGCACCCATTGGTGTCTCACCAGTGCTGAGCGGAGGGGATCACCCCTCTCTACCTGCTGGCAGTGCTCTACCTGATGCAGCCTAGGAGGCCGCTGGCTGCCTTCTCTACAAGGATGTGTTGTGGCAAATGGTGTTTGCGTATGTTTTTGTTGGAAACAGAATTGTGAAATTGAAAATGCTTCTGAATTTCTGATTTTCTGAATCACACATAACAGTGATGTCAGTGAGATATTTTGCATGGGTGAATGGTATACAGATGCCAACATGTGTCCTGTAATTTGCTAGGAATCTGATAAGGCAGCTGCAAACAAACTAAGAAAGAGTCTAAACTATCCTGCTACATCTGTGTTTGGTGTCAGGGCTGAAAGCTCCAGACATGTGAAGAGCACTAGGCAGAAGAGTAAGCTAGTAGCTCTCTGGTTGCATGTGGTGCCTGTCTAGTAGCAGGAGTTAAATAAAAACTGATGATTTCCAGAAATGCAAGAAAGGGCTAGTTGAAATTTAAACAGATTTATAACATGAAATTAGTTTTTAAAAGCAAAGCTGTAGCTAAAGACTTTTCAAAGCTTCATGGCCATAAATTTCTTTGGTTTATCATGTTGGTGGCCTTTAACCAGTACTCCTCCTGCTTAGTGATTGTTTTAGCAATCTTTGTGTTTTCGGATTGTGGTAGATCACAATCAGATGCAAGTGGTAATACAATTTTCTCAGTTTTCTCCAGGGAGTGTGGTGCTGTTTCACACCAAGATAGAATACACAGGGACAGTCCTTGGGTTGACTTGCTTAAAGTATAATACAATACTATGCTAGAGGGCAACTCTTTATTTAACTGTATAGGAAATGAATCATTGCAATGACCATTTTCTACAATTTTATTGTTACAGTGTCTCTGGCATATTAATGAGCCTTCTATCACTGAAGAAGCTAATGCAGACTTTCTCATTTGTGGTGTAGTTGTTGTAGTTTTGAAGGAAAGCATCGCTCACAGCTAGCATAGAACTGTCAAAATACCAGGCAAAAATGTCAGCCTATAAATAATTTCTGAAAGAAATGTAGCTGCTGGCGGAATCTACAACCTTGATCTCGCAGCTGTAAAGTTAGTGCCTAGCAGTTTTAAACTGCATGAGCTACAGTCTCCTTACCCAGCCACAACTTATCCTCAAACTCATGTAGTGAATTTGGTTTTACACAGTGACTAAATGTTTGCATGCATCTTCTGGTTACTCTAAATATGATTGCTTGGTTAATACAGAACAGGGTAGGAATATAATTTGCACAGATGAAACTGTCTTTAGCTCTTTACTGGGTAGAAATGACAGTGAAAATGATCAGTTCTAGACAAGTTATTGTCTGTAGATCCTGGAATGAAATATTACATTACTGTATATTCAATAATGTTATGACTCATTTAAACCACAAACATATTATAAATGAATTTATATTATTCTATTATTAACTTCCTGTATGAATGGGATAATTACTTTTGCTTCCATCCACAGCAGAAAGGCAAAAAATAGATTAAAAATTTGATAGATAAGTTATACCAGAATACTGAAGATGAGATGGCTTTGATTTTCTTTTGTCTGATAGATCAATTCTCTACTATTTTAAATAATAGACCAAAAAAGCTTATGTAACATAAAGCAAAATGTTTTGCAGTTGGCAAATGCATATCAAGGAATTGTTGCTGTTGAACATATAAGATGATATTCTGACTCTGACTCAGGGAGGTTGTGTTTTTTTCTCATTTGGGCATTTGGTGGGGTTTTTTGTTTGTTCTTTGTGGTTTGGTTTTATTTTGTTTTGTTTTTTTAACTCTCTTAGACACTTCACATTTAAACTAATATTAATAGGGTTACTTAAGTGACTCAATTGTTAAGTTTTAAATTTGTGTCTCTGTCTCGTAACAAAAAAAAATCAAGATGTAGCCTGACAGTAGAGTTCAAGTCTTCATATGTGGAGTCCTGTTTTAAGTGTTTTTCAACAAATGACAATACCTCCTCTTTTACCTGACTATATCACTAATTGTCACTTGCTTTTCATATTACTAATGTCAAGTCAGGAACTTCCACAGCACTGCTTTTCTGTTCTTGTTTTCCTCACTCTTGATTATCTGTTTTCCTATCTCACTGATTGCATTGAAAGTTCAGGCATATACAGCGTAATTCCAGGCATGACTGGAAGGAATATCAAAACCTGACCTCCTGGAACCTGCACTAACAGAAGCACAAATATCACCACCTCTTATTTGAATGGTGTTTGAACTGTTAAATAGGAACTTTGTAACAAAGAGATAACAGAATTTTGCATGGATTTTATAGTTCAGTATTGAATTCTACAGGCAGAAGCAGATCATATTCTTCCATGGTCAAATAACATCAAAGCACAAGCTTAGTGCTACTTTGATATCAGGCGTGGCATGTAAATGAATAGCATCACCTACTCTAATTGTTATGAATATGTACTTCTAGGTTGTTTACCTTTCATCTGAGTATTTTTGATTTGACAGATCTGCTTTAACAGTGTGTTGCAACGAAGACAAAAAATCTTTAGAACTTCGTGAATACTGACTCCGTCTGTAATCTGGAAAATAAATTGCTCCTTGAAAAGAAACTATGGTTTTGAAATATTTGCCCAGATATATTGCTAGTACCATAGAAAATTGCTTATAGCACTTTCACCATAAGTTGTTGTAACACAAGATATTACTGAATTGAAGAAAATGTTTAGAACTGCTTAGATCAATCAGTCATATGTACAAGATTTATTACTTCTCATACCTTTCCAGCATACGTTTTAGGAGAAATTCAGCTATTTTCATCTACTTTAAAGCCTGAAAGGAGCCAAAGGACAGTCTGAATTCAGAAAGGAAAGTAGCAACACAACAGTAGTGGTAGCACTGTATTAGCTCTTTGGTTCTATTTTGTGAAAAGCTGTATAAAACTTGATCTGCAGATGTGGAGCAACCTTGCAAATAATCTCCCTCTGTGAATGTCATGCATATAAAAACTTCAGTGTTGATTGAATTTTAGTATGAAGTTCCAAGAGAAGTCCTGTACTACCACAGAATGGCTGTCTCCATTAGCACAGCTGACATCATCACTGCATTAATGAAAATATAATTTAAGCCTTATCAGACTCCACGTTTTATTTCTGGTTCCTTCTGCTTCTGAGGATACTGAGATCTGTGGTCTCAGCCTGGTGTCAGTGGGGGATGCTAGTGTCAGAATCTGAGGTTCTTCATTGGCAGGAATGTGATTTTGACTTTTTTTCCTTCCCTTTTGTTTGGTCTCTGTCATTCTTGATTTATCTGGGGTTATTTATAAAGTTTCTAACACAATTTTACACCAGTCATACTGCAGCTCCACATGACATTTCAATATCTCCTTTACGAGGCACATTTCACATGTATTAGATACTTGTTCTTTTTTACCTTTGAAACCTGATTCTATCCAGGTCTTCATTTCTTTAAGTGACCATGGGTGATTTGTTCACAGCAATGGGATCTCCAGTGTCGAGCATATGTCACATCTCTTACCACACCCACACATGTAGTCTTCTTCACTGTATCCTGTGTCTCCATTTCTCAAGGCCTTTGGTATTATTCCAGTGCCAGGCCTGTATTTCTCTGTACAGCATGACATTAGTGGTAAATAGCTCATTCTGCACATAATAGCTTCTTGTGTGGAGGTAAAGCTGTAGTTGTACCATACAAAGATAAAGGCAGGCATAAAAATTAGTCACAGCCACCAGATCACAATAAAATTTGATGTTACAGCTAAACCAAGTTTAAAAAAAAAAAAAAAACACAACCAAAACTCCAGACAGCTCAAGACACTTTCAGACAAAGGAAGCCTGGCAAGCCACTGCCCAGGGGTCTTGCAAACTCAATAGCCTGATACTAGTAGTGGCAATACTGTATTACTCAGGTATTAAACTACAGATACAGCAAAGACTTTGAGATGTGCTTTCATTCACTTAAAATATGATGCTAAAACTTAGTGAAGAGAAATAACTGACGTTCCCTTAGCCTCTCGATCCTTTGGCTTGAATTGCTGTGGATGGAGAAGCTTGTTAGAGTATCTTCATGTTCTTTGGTAAACTGAAGTCTGAGAAAAAGTTGAATGTAGAATAATTTATGAAAGCTAGAAATATCTTCTCTTCTTGTAAGGAATATCAGAAATAATAAGGATAATTTATTATTATTATACATGATTATAATATTATTTTGGTGAAATAAATGTATCTAGAGCATTAGCCTATTCTCTATAATTGGAGGCAGGTTAATATTTATGCATTTTCATCTCAGATTGCCATTTCTCCTCTTAGGGAATAGCAAATATGTGGTCTTTGGTTCTAAGCAAAACGAAAAGTTAGTGATGTTGATTTTGGGAATATCCAAACTGTAACTGACAGTGTGGAAAATGTAGCTATTTAACAGACATGACCAAGCAATAGACAAGGAAATAATTTTATTTTTCAGGATTGAATGTAAACACAGTTGCACACAAAGCAGTCCTTCCCTAAAACCAGCGAGTACAGTGAACAAAGATATTTCAGCTGTCTCCCCAGCTCTCCTCACTAGTGCTTCTATTCAAGCTGCACAACAAAGAAATCAAATCAGAACAGCACAAGACCGGAAATTTTTTAAGAGCATAGAAGGGAGTACTGTAATGCCACCTGCTGCCGCTGGCACAAAAATGTTGGAAAATAGACTTCCCAAAAAGTGTTGTTTTTTTTTTTTCATAATTACATATTATTGTAAGCTTTTTAAATTTTTTTAGGAGCAGGGAGCCTTACTCCTTTATTTATTTGTTTATCATCTTGAATGGCGTGGCAGAACTTCTAAAAACATCATCACAACTTCTAAAAACATCATCACAACTTCTAAAAATGTCATCACATGAGCAACTGCTGTATTTCTCATGCTACTTTTGGTCCTTATATATGTAAAGGTTGTGTTTCCCTAACACAGATAATACAGGAAACATCTGGTTTTTTTGAGGAAATAAGGAAAACAGTTTCACTAGTAGTTACTAGTGGGGCCAGTAGGTCGAGGGAGGTGAATCTGCTGCTCTGATCTACTCCGGTGCTACCTCACCTGGAGTCCTGTGTCCAGCTCTGGAGCCCTCAGCACAAGATGGAACTGTTGGAGCAGGTCCAGAGGAGGACCACAAAAATGATCTGATGTCTGGAACACCTGTCCTACGAGGAACTGGGGTTGTTGGGCCTGGAGAAGACAAGGCTTTGCAGACACCTAATAGCAGCCTTTCAGTACCTGAAGGGGGACTATAGGAAAGATGGGGACAATCTTTTCAACACGGAGTGATGGTTTTAAACTAAGGGAGTGTAGATTTAGACTAGATATAAGGAAGAAATTTTTTACCACAGGGTGTGAAACACTGCATTGCCAAGAGAAAGTAGTGGACGTCCCATCCCTAGAAACATTCAAGGTTGGGATGTATGGGGCTCTGAGTAACCTGATCTAGTCGAAGTTGTCCCTGCTCACTGTGGGGACCTAGATGACCTCTACAGGTTCCTTTCTATGAAGATTGTCCCCATCTTTCCTATAAGCCCCCTTCAGGTACTTCAAGGCCACAATAAGGTCTCCCTGCACCCTCCTCTTCTCGAGGCTGAACAGCCCCAACTCTCTCAGCCTTTCCTGACAGGGGATGTGCTCCAGCCCTTGGATCATTTTTGTGGTCCTCCTCTGGACCTGCTCCAGCAGCTCCATGTCCTTCTTGTGCTGAGGGCTCCAGAGCTGGACACAAGACTCCAGGTAGGGTCTCACCAGAGCAGAGTAGAGGGGCAGAATCACCTCCCTCAACCTGCTTGCCAAGCTGCTTTTGATGCAGCCCAGGATACAGTTGGCCTTCTGGCTGCAAGTGCAGATTGTTGGCTCATGTCCAGCTTTACGCCCATCAGCACCCCTAAGTCCTTCATGGCAGGGCTACTCTTAATCCCATCATCCCCCAGCCTGTATTGATTCTGAAAGAAGATACTTTTTTTTTCTGAAAAAAGACAGCATAGCACCTAAAATATTAATTGAAAATAAGTGATGTAGTATAACTAAGCAGTTAAAGTGATACAGTAGCTGCTTCTGGAGTTGCTACTTACTGCTGGAGTTTGAATCTCTGACTTCATTACATTTTAGAATTAGATATCTGAGTATGAGTAACCAATTAACCTGTTTATTGATTTCCATGATGTATAGCTACTCCACATCACAAAGCAATTGTATTTTTTTTTTAATTTACAAAGATCATAGGGTCAACATTGAAAGAATAAAGTGGAAAGAAAATTAAGTTCCTATTCAGATGTATTTTAAGAAACTACATATAGCTATAAAGCTGAGGTTTAGTTTTGGTTAGATTTTTTTTGATGTGACCAAGGGTGAAAGGGTCCTGGTTATAAAGACGGTGTCAAAATATTGTCTTCCTTGATACCTAAAGATTAAATACTCCAGGTGTTCCTTCCATAGTTGTGAATGGAGATTCCTTCGACAGAGGCGGATTACTGAAATGAAGAAATCTTTCATAAGACTAGTACTTGTTGTAAAGTAGTATATTGGTGGTGGGTGTTTTAACTAAGCTCTTTACCATGCAATAAAGTACTTTTTGATTTCTTTTTGGTGCAACTTCTAGAACTTATGGTGTTTTCCCACTTTGTGCTTAATCATGAAAGTGATTTAGTGTTTTTTCTTCAAAATCTTTTAAAAGTAATTACATAGTCCAGTGAGCACAGTAAAGAGAAAAAAAAAAAGGAGACTAAATTTAAATCACGGACTGTGTTGGTGACATACTGTCTGTAGTTCATGGGTTATTATTAAATTTCATTCTGATGAGAAGCTTGCACTGAAATGGAATACTACTATAAAGTTTCAAATGACTACTTACAGCAGTGAAATTCTGCTTCCCGGGACTAAGCTATTGTGAAAGGCTCCACATTTTAACTTTGAACATCAATTTGAATGAAGTGCTATACATTTAAACAAAATAATGAAAAAAAAACCAGAACCATAAATGTGTTGTCACATATAGTTAAAAGTTTTCAACTTCTTGTTTAAAGGTGAGTTGATAAATACATTAATATGGGTCACTACAGAACAGTAGATATGATCTATGCACCTTAAAATTTCAGTTTAACCACTCATGGCGTATAATAAACTACTCTCTGAGTGATATACTTGTAATCTAATTTCCCTGCTTTTGATGGAAACTGAGAATTATTTTCATTTTCATCAATGTCACCATAACTGGACATGCTGAACAAGTTATTCCAAGTTACTTTTGTGCAGAAATTTTTATTGACTAAAGAATTCAATTTTTATTTTTATGCAACGCATACCCATAATAAGAGCAATAACTAAAAACTAATCTCACATGAATTGCTATTGTAAATTGTAATGTACTTGTGTTCCAGTTTCTATTATCTGCATGGTACAAAGGGTGATTCTTTTTTACCTCTTGTCATTAAAAAAAAAATAAATATAGGTTTATAGTTTGTGAAGCATAAGACAGTGTTGTTGAGCAGGCTTTGTGTGTTCTAATGAAATTTTTCTCATGATAATTTGTGAATTCAGCCAGCATTCCACAAAGGGAGTCTAGTTCAGCAAAGTTCCAGCACAATCAATTACCTGTTTCATCTCTATGACTTCCTCAGTTTGCTGCATGATTGCCTTACTGGCTCCTCCTTGGTCCAGAGCTAGGAAGCCACAGTAAGCTTGATTTCCACACTCACAGTTCCTCAAGTGTTCCAGGACTAAATCAACACACCAGAGAGGCTACAGAAGACAAGGTTTCGATTCTTTTCCACAGAGGATTTTCAGATTGGGAGGAGAGTAATACTAATGAGAATAATGCAAATTTTTATTTCATATCAAAATGCTCGGTGAAATTAATTTACTTTCTAGAGAAATAGCATCATAGTTTATTCTTCCTGTATTATGTGAAGGAGTTTGCTGTCTTTGGAAAAAAAAAAAAACAAAATGGATATTTCCTCATAACAGTATTACTTCTTTTTCTACTTCTCAACAGGTGGGAAACGTTGTTCAATTTCAGTGTAAAAAAGGACACCTTCTCCATGGCTCAACAACACGAACTTGCCTTCCTGACCTTACATGGAGTGGAATCCAGCCAGAATGTATACGTAAGTAAATGATAGATTTTTGATCTATCATTTTATCTAGGCTATTTAGTTACAGTAACATTGCTATAAAGTTAACTTAATTTATATAGTTTTAGTAACTTAACGTTAATTCAGATTTGCATTATTAGCTTACAGCAGATAGAAATGTGTTTTTCGGAGTCAATTCTACAATAGGCTATAGAATTATAAAAAAAAACAACAAAAACAAAAAAAACCCAACACCAAAAATAATTATAATAAAAGCCAGCTCTTCATCCAGAGAGGTGCTAAAGTGCTAAAAATAGTAAGTTTCTATCTACGAGGGTGCAGCCTTTCCAATGAAAAGAGTGAAAGAGTTTGGAGGTGGTGAGAACAGGACATGTATGAAAGCACTGCACAACCATAACTTTTATTGGAGCAGATAGTTACAATTAGTTCTAGTAAAGAGTTTGAGCTCTTTGCCAACAAAGGAGTCGGGTATTTTAAGAAGGGGGAAAATGGAGTTTGTAATTGGAAATATTTGAATCTGAAATGGAGAGAATTTTCTCACTCGGGTACAGGAAGTAGCATTTCATTTCATAGATCTTTTCACTTTGCTAAATCTTGCTAATTTGCTGAAGGTATAACATCTTGGCTAACCTTTCTATTTTTTCAGCTAGCCGGCTGTATTTTTCTGGAAATAGTCTCACGTTATAAGGTCTGACCTTACAGAATCACTTCAGTGTATAGAGAGCATATCCACAGAACAAAAAAGCATTAGTGTTTCAGTTGGTGCTAGAGTTCCCGCTAAGCAAATAGCAAATCAGTAACTCAGTGTGTTGAAAGGTGAGCTCTGTTCTTGGAGGTATGCTGGTTTCAAGATAACACAAGGCTCTCAAATTCTGGTCGTTGTTAAAGATGTAAGAGACTTTGCACAAGGTTAAGAATTATAATTAATTTTTCTTCCTGATATTTAAAACTTGTCTTACCTAAAATTTCTCCTTGACCTTTCATAGTGTTTTCCAAATTACCCATTTATTTTCTGTTATTCAGTGCTACACATATATCATGTCAAGTAAGTCACAAGCCATGATTACTTTTAACTGTGGTAAGGTGTACGCTGTTTGTGTTCCCATATGCAGAGAATTTTTGTCGTACAAGTGCATTTAGGTTGTTCTAGGTCCCTTCAAATAGAAAGGTCCGTTTTCAAGACTGTATTTACAGGCTCAAGACAGTATTTTATAGACGATATAGTAAATTTTAACGTGAATTAAAAATATATTAATGTTACATTTATTAGTGTATTTTTCTTCATTAGTTACCTGTCAGAATGAGTATAGATTATTTTTTTTAGAAGTATTTTCAACATTTTGACTGAATGATATTTTACCTTTTCTTTGTAGCTCACAGCTGTAAACAACCAGAAACCCCAACGCATGTTAATGTTGCAGGAATGGATCTTCCCTCTCTTGGTTATACATTGATTTACACTTGTCAGCCAGGATTCTTCCTGGCAGGAGGGTCAGAACATAGAGCCTGTAGGTCTGATGGCACATGGACTGGGAAAGTTCCAGTTTGTGAAGGTAAGCTCTTCTGTTTCCTGCTGCAACTCTCATCTATCATATTTCAGTGATTTTTCTTTACTTGCAGTCTAGTAAGGTAAGGCAGAATGGCAAGGAGAACCAGGAGGGCGAACAACTAAGAGGATAACTCTAATCTTTTGTCAGTTGTGTTTAATGGGATGTATGTATTCATGTATTTGTCTTGCATTTGGGTGCTTAGTGGTGTCAATTATAATTCCGATATAATTCTGGAGGACAAATACTTGGGTAACACCTGCTTTTAGACTTCTGACTGAGTTGTGTGTGGACTACATTCTCATAAACTAAGTGACATCTCGATGTTTCTGCACATGCATACTAAACACAGATCAGGATAATTTTATTCACAGAGACTGTGTCACCTGCAAGACAGCTATGACAGTTGCAATACTACAGTGATATATTTTCTATCACAGAAGTATAGTGGGATGATTCACACAATCGGAGTGCTGCAATGGATGGCTATAAACTCTTCAGAAGGGATAGACAAGGAAGAAGAGGAAGTGGGGTGGCCCTGTATGTTGGGGAGTGCTTTGACTGTATAGAGGTTTATGACGGTGATGATAGGGTTGGGTGTTTATGAGAAAGAATCAGAGGGAAGGCCAATAAGACAGATATCATTGTGGGTGTCAGTTATAGACCACCCAGCCAGGATGAAGAGGCAGCTGAAATATTCTATTATACCGAGCTGAGAAAAGCTGAGAGAAGTCTCACAATCACTACCCCTTGCTCTTGTAAGGGAATGCAACTTACCAGATGTCTGCTGCAAATACAGTACAGCAGAGAGGAAGCAGTCTAGGAGGTTCCCAAACTGTGTGAAAGATAGCTTCCTGACAAAGCTGATGAGAGAGCCAGCTAAGGAAGGCACCCAGCTGGGCCTGTTGTTTGCGAATGAATAAGGACTTCTGGATGATGTGATGGTTAGAGGCCGTCTTGGACATAGCAATTATGAAGTGACAAGAGTTTTTGATTCTCAGAGAAGTAAGGAGCGGGGTTAGCAGAACTGCTACCTTGGACTTACAGAGGGCAGACTTTGGCCTGTTGAGAAGCTTGGTTAACAGAGTCCCTTGGGAGGCAGTCCTGAAGGGCAAATGAGTCCAGGAAGGCTGGACATTCTTCATGAAGGAAATCTTAAAGGTGCAAGATCTGGCCATCCCTATGTGCCAAAAGATGAGCCGGTGGGGAAGAAGACTGACTTGGCTGCACAGAGAGCCTTGGCCAGAAAAAAAAAAAAAAAAAGAGTTTATGACCTTTGGTAGAAGGGGTGGGTAACTCAGAAGGACTACAAGGATGTCATGAGGTTTTGCAGGGAGGAAATAAGAAGGGCCAAAGCCCAACCTGAATTTCATCTGGCTACTGTGATACAAGACTGTGAAAAATGTTTCTATAAATATATTAGCAACAAAAGGAGGGCTAAGGAGAATCTACAACCTTTATTTGATGTCAGGGGAAGCATAGTGACTAAGGATGAAGAAAAGGCTGAGGTACTTATGGCCTTCTTTGCCTCAGTCTTTAAAAGTAAGAACATTTGCTTTTGGGGTATGCAGTCCCCTGAGCTGGAAGACAGGGAAGGGGAGCAGAATGAAGCACCCATAATCCAAGGGGAAATGATTAGTGACCTGATACACCTCTTAGACACACATAAGTCTAAGGGGCTGGAGAGGATCCATTCAACGGTACTGACGGAGCTAGTGGATGTGCTCACCAAACCACTTCCAATCATTTATCAGCTGTCCTGGTTAACTGGAGAGGTCCCATTTGACTGGAGGTTAGAAAATATGACACCTATCTACAAGAAGATCCAGAAGGAAGAAGCAGGGAACTACAGGCCTCTCTGACCTAGGTGCCAGAAAATGTTGTGGAGCAGGTCATCTTGAGTGCCATCGCACAGCATGTACAGGACAGCCAGGTGATCAGGCTGTCGCGGTTTGGCCCTGGCCAGCAACAAAGGACCAAGCAGTGGCTCTGTTGCCCCTCCCCCCACTGGGGTGGGGAGGAGAATGGAAAGAAAAAGACAAAATTTGTGGTTTGGGATAAAGACAGTTTAACAGAACAGCAAATGAAGCAAACCATAACAATAAACAGCGGAATGTACAGAGCAACTCTCACCGCCCAATGCCCAGCACTCTCTCAGTGAGTCTGCAGACGCCATCAAGTTGGGTGGGACTGTTGATCTACTTGAGGGTAGAAAGGCTCTACAGAGGGACCTGAATAGGCTGGATAGATGGGCCTAGGCCAATTGCATGTGGTTCAACAAGGCCAAGTTCTGCATCCTGCACTTGGGTCACAATAAGCCCATGCAACACTACAGGCTTGGGGAAGAGTGGCTGGAAAGCTGCCTGGTGGAAAAAGATCTTGGGGTGTTGGTTGACAGCCAGCTGAACATAAGCCAGCTGTGTGCCCAGGTGGCCAAGAAGTGTCCAAGAAGGCCATGGTGATCCTGGGTTGTATCAGGAACAGTGTGGCCAGCAGGAGTAGGGAGGTGACTGTGCCCCTGTGCTTGGCACTGTTGAGGCCGCATCTTGAGTACTGCATTCAGTTTTGGGCCCCTCACTACAGGAAGGACATTGAGGTGCTGGAGCATGTCCAGAGAAGGGCAATAAAGCTGGTGAAAGGTCTAGAGAACAAGCCCTGTGAGGAGCGGATGAGGGAACTGGGTTTGTTTAGCCTGGAGAAAAATAGGCTCAGAGGAGATCTTATTGCTCTCTACAACTACCTGAAAGGAGGTTGCAACAAGGTGGGTGTTGGTCTCTTCTCCCAAGTAACAAGCGATAGGGCAAGAGGAAATGGCCTGAAGTTGCACCAGAGGAAGTTTAGATTGGATATTAGGAAAAATTTCTTCCTCAAAAGGGTTATTAAGTATTGGAACAGGCTGCCCAGGGAAGTGGATGAGTCACCATCCCTGGAGGTGTTTAAAAGACACGTAGATGTGGTGCTTAGGAACATGGTTTAGTGGTGGATTTGGCAGTATTAGGTTAATAGTTAGACTAGATGATCTTAGAGATCTTTTCCAATCCAGATGATTCTAATTCTAATCTAGTATTAGAGAAGGATGCCTGAAGTCCAAGTACATGTCTGAATCACTACATGGAATTAATCCATAGGGTTTAATAATTTATATTTGTAGGTAAGCAGTAATAATGCTACTTGTGAAAAAAAATGTATCTATTTTGTCCTTGATGTTCCAACATTTTGTTTCTAATTTTTAGTACTTACTTTGTCATGGCAAGGCATGAAAAAACTCATTGCAAAATTATGGTGAGAATGGTGGGTTTTATGTGAGATAAGAAACATCCTCAAGTATAGCAACTGTTTGGAATTCTGTTTCCTGAATAAATAAAGCACCTTTCTGATTATTGATACCTAGTGTTTCAGATGTGATTATCCCCAGGGCACTTACAGAGGCATTCAAAAGCTGTATAGCCAAACACTGCTACTTGGAAGGCAAATAGGAAATCAATATTTTGCATTACTAAAAAACAGGTGCCCTGGCCTTATATTGCCAGACAAGTGCTGGTGGAAAACAGAGCTGAGCTTTGGGACTTGTTTGGGACTTGTTCAATACTCTGGAAGGGTTGCCAAATATGATTCATTAGTTATATTTTGATAGAAGATTTTTCTGATTATGATATTGAAGCAAGTAGTACTAGTTGACCTATCTGATAGTAGAGAACCTTTATGAGATTTTTTTTAAAAAGTATTAAGTGGTAACTATGAGTGTATCTACCTTGTCATACAATTTATTTTCCCGATGTCCTGAGAAAATGTTACAGAAATGCAAATTTTTGTGGGACCACAGGCCTTGCTTCTTGCTTTTTAACAGTGGAGAAAGGTAAGAGTGAGAAACATACCTTATTTACTCTATATAGATAAATTAAAATATCTCTCAAATATTTTCAATTTTACCTATTATGAAGGGGTGAAACATCTTTCCCCTATGGAAGGGAGAAGAGCACCAGGTCAGGTTGTTCACCAGTGATTGTGAACTTCACAAAAATAACTTGGAAATGGATGAAAAGGAATGAAATATTTGGAGTTGAGAGCTCTAAAAGATCTTTAGGGGAGTTAAATACAAAACTGTAATATGGAAAGCCCTACTCAGCAAACATATAGACCTAGAAACTTCAGCTTCATAGGTAACTTGTTTTTGTTTTGGGTTTATATTTAAAATATGTATTTAAATTTTATTTTGTATTTAAAATTTAAGTTCTGAACTTGACTAGAAATGTATCCTACTTGACAGGGCTGCTTGACTCAGCAGTTTGTTGTACTAAAGCCTTTTGGAAAGTATGTTCCAGATATTTCTAACCTAAGCTTGGTGTAGTCAAAAAGCATATGCTGTTAAAGCATGCCCTTTAGGTCAGCCATATACAGTGAAATTCGGTAAGTTTCTTTCAAAACAGAGAGGAAATAGAGATTAATCAATCAGCAGTAACAGGCCATGAGAACTTCACTTTGAATTCCAACCCCTGCCCTTGTTTCTTGCCAGATTTAATCTATGTACCAAAAAGAATCCTTCTGTAATAAGCTAAAAGTTTTTCGCAAGAAAAATATTCTTGTTGCTTCTTGCTGATGTTTCCTTTTTATGCAGAAAGATACTCCACCCAGGGAGAAGGAAGTTGCTTTTCTTGTCTATTTTTTTCAGAGTATCGATCAGAGAGAAAAGGCCTGGGTTCAAAGCCAGGATCTAAAATACAAAATACTGAAATAATCATTGGAGCAAGGAATGGAACCTAGTGTTTCATGAGCATATGATACATTAGGAGGCAGAATTATGTGTCTTCTTTATAGCCCAGTGAATCCAAATGAGTTTCTGCAAAAAAAAAAAAATTGTTTCAGCTGCAGGAAATGGCACTGTCCCATTGCGTTTAGTTCACCACTTTCAGCAGTGGGAGAGTTCCTGCTCTAAGCAGAGAAGAGGATAACTTCATGAATTTCCAGTGCTCAAATCACCTAAGCAGTTGGAGATACTGTGTACAGCCTGACTTGTTTCTTTCTTTCTGTTGCTGTTCTTTAAAGAAATGGTGATTTTCTCCATTGTTAAGAGATTAGGCATGCATCTTTGGGTTTTCAGTCTTAAACATAAGATTTCTCAGTCAGTACTGTTGAAGATAATTAAGTCCTGAAGAGGAACATGATTTAAAACACCCTTATTATGTCTCTTCACTGTTTGTATTACATTGCTTCCAGTCTATATTATTCACAGTGATACGTTGTGTGGATCCTGATTTAAATAACACAACTTGCCTTAGAAGAAATATTGGAAGACCTCTCACATATTAGGTGTGTAGCCCAGGACCGTGAATTCTGAAATGTGGTATCTGAAGTGAAAGCCTACACTGTTTGGGTGTTGCAGATGACTTGGTAGCATTCAGGTGACTGACTTAAGAGAAAACACGACATTGGAGAAATCAGTGGGCATGTGCTCCTGCAATACTAGGGCTTGATACCGACTGAAATCTCATTCGTATTTGAGTTTGAAACACCATATTTTATCCTTTGTTACAAATATATTACATTATGGAAATTAATTTCCTAGTTTCCAAGTAACATATTTGCTATTGATTTCTCTTTTTGTCATTCATTCTTTCTAACAGCTGGTTCAAAAATATTAGTGAAGGACCCCAGACCAGCTTTGGGAACACCAAGTCCCAAACTAAGTGGTAAGTACTTCGAAGTATATATAGTTTTAAACAATTTCTGCAGGAAACACATAGATTTAATGAGACTGCATTAAATGGATTAGAATGAATAAAGGGCGTTAGATTAGGCATTACATTAACAGAACAAAAACATCATTCATTAAATTATTTCCCAATGTTTAAGTCTGTCTAGACTACATGGTATTATTTATATACATACAAAATTTCTAACTGTGATATGATGAGAGTTTCATTGGTTTCACTGAAATCACTGTGTTCTGTGTAAGATCCTATGCAATTTATGTATTCAGAAACTATATTACTCACCCAGATAAAGTTTAAAGACATGTTGTTTCACAGTTTTTTCACAGTCTTGCGCTTCTTTTACATATTGCCAATTTAAATTACTTCACCTAAATACTTCAGTATTACTCTTCAACTCAGCCTTCAAAAAAGATAATTTTAGTATTGAGAAGGTAGTCTCTCCAGCTCTGGCTAAAGTGATTTCCAGTTTTAACCAACTTGATAAAGAAGATTATCTTTGTATGTCCTGACTAGATGCAAGAGAAACCTTTCTCTATCCACTGAGGAGACTTTTTGAAGAGAGAAGTCTCCTTAACTAAAATTAGCCTATGACTATAACAGGGGGTTTTGTAGGGTTTTGTGTGGCTTTGTTTTGTTGTGTTTTTTTTTTTTCCTAACAGGTTGTACACTACTTCAAAACTGTTTGTCAATGATATACTGCACGGTATTCATATTATGATGTTTTTTCCTTCAGAAGCTTTTTTACAATCCCCGTTAATCACAAATAAAGTACATAAAGATCATTTTTCCTTGAAGTAGGGAGTTTGCACCATGCAGTTTCCTTGCTTGCAGTTTGCAGGTCCAGTATCCAGGTGTTTTGTTTTTATGTGTTTACTTGTCAAAAAATATATACATCTATGCATATACATACACAAATAGACATCTAGGAAAGCTCTTTCACCCAGAAGAGAAATTATGAAAGAAGACTCTTGGGTATTCCAGTGTGCCCCAGTCTTGAATTTTAGGATATCCTGAGACAGAATGGGGCAAGTATTCTCCTGTGTTAATCTGAAATGAGATGTCTATGTATACATGAACACAGAGCTTTACGTTCAGTGTGAGTGACTCATAATAATGTGAAAGTGCCGATATGAAATAGTGATTATTTGTTATAGGGTAAAGTTTGATACATTTCCTTTGGAAGGTGTAGCAAACCCATCCTAAGTCACCTTCAATTTAATTGTTTAAATGGTAATCTCATGTTAAGACAGTAAAGGTTTGCATGTATTTGTTCTTACTGAAAAGGCAACATTTTTTTTTAATCATACTGTTAATGGAATAGCATTATGTAAATTGATCATTTAAAGGCTGGATAATGATAAATATTGTATCTAAAGGTATAAATCTAGTATAACTCCATTTATTCTCCCTGCAGTCTATGATCTCTTTTAATTTCTAAATTTGGGGATTTATTTTTTCTCCTGGTGAAGCTCATAATGTTTTTAAGCATTTGAAGACAAGACAGTACTTCTTATACAAATCTATCATTAGAAAAAATGACTAGGTAATAAAGAAGATGCTTATAATTTTTAAAGTCATTTAAATATACAAATTTTGATATCTAAATTAATATCAATTTCTGCAAAATTTAATCCTAGCTGTATGTCCCTGTCTGTCTATGCTGGCATAGAAATGATTCTGCAGTGAGAGGAATCTGGTCTTTTGGTTACAGCTGTTGAATTAGATTTTGTGAAGTTAGTTTAATTTTAGTACATGTCCATATTTAAGGAAAGGAGCAAATGAAGGCACAGCTATGGCTGTGTTCTTCAGTACAAATACATTTCTTTCCTAGATGTTCATGCCAGGTTTGTATGATTTATATGTGAAGACAATGCCTAATAGACTTAAAAACAGAAAGAGTTAAGTAGAGAAAATGCTCGTATTTATCATACATTTTGTTGGATGCTTGACTTCATAAGTAATAAATATTGCAAAATGTATTGAAACGTGTTTGATGTCTGTATAGTTCCTGATGATGTATTTGCCCAAAATTATATATGGAAAGGATCTTACAATTACAAAAGCAAGAAACAGCCCATGACTTTGACAGTAACCAGTTTCAATGCAACTTCAGGAAGAGTAAATGCAACACTTACAAACAGCAATATGGAATTGCTGCTGTCAGGTATGGGATAAGAAAAACTCATTTTCATTTAATTTTTTCTGCCTTATGTACATTGGTTCTCTGTGACTTTATGCATAACATTTTAACTTTTAACATCTTCTGGAAATTTTCTTAGCTTATGAAGGAATTTTTCATTCTAGTTCAGCTTGTTTCCAAAGGTAGGGAGTTTTTCCACCTTTTCCTTTTCTCCTTTCTTTTTAATTTGCCAGGTTTTTATCGTATTTGGAGTTAATAGCTAATAAGGAGTGAAGAAATCATCCTAATTCTCATGCTTCTTCCTTAAACATTACAAATAAACTTAAATTACTGTTCCTGAGATTTTCTTATTTCATTATTGTACAATTTACAATAGCTTATTAATGACTAATAAGCAATATGATATTATTGATAATAAGTTGACCTAGCAAGGCAGACATATTAATGAACATGGAGAGTAACAAGAGATGACAGTTGTTAGACTAGCTGATACAGCTGAAAAAAGTAGCTACCTTTACTGTGGTTTCAGAAGCAGCCCTTTATGGCAATCTTGGTTTATGATATTCCACAGTCCTTGCCACATGGAGCACTGTTGCCATGGTTATGTTGGCACAATATGCACAGTTCTCTATGCTGTGAACCATCAGCAGAAACTACAGATATGGCTTGACAAGCAAGGAAAGAAAAATACTATAAAAAATGTTTGGGTTTATAGTTTTTGCTTGCTTTTCAAACTCTGACAGTCCCTTGATTGAGACATCTCAGCCACACAGACCACGGACCTGTCACACCACAGAAGTGGCAGGTTATAGCACAGGGGTGTGAATAAGCATAAAAGAAACACCTGAAATCAATATTATCACTCAAGACGTAGTTTCCTGAAACTTCGCCCTCTGTCTACAACACTTTCTGTAAGGAGTGAAGAAGCCTAAAAATTGCAGTTATGTATAGGCTGGACACTGCTGGTTTTAATCATGTTCATCACTTAAAGACCCCTTTCTCTGAAGTAGTTTAACATCACTCTTTTTCCCAGAGGTGTCAGCAAGGACAGAAGTGAACTTGTTGGGAAAAAAAGGGGGAAATTTTAGCCCGTATGTTTCTGAGAGGGGTGGTCTACAGGAAGGATGTAATGGACCAAAGAATCCATGTCTCTGTTGAGCTCTTAGTTTCTAGAATCTAGCAGTGGTGAATTTTTGTCACTAGGTTTGTCTGTTGAAGGTGTTTTCTAGGTGCCCTTTGAAGAGTCACACTTGAGAGGATGTAGATGGCCTGACTGTTTCATAAAATATTTTCTGACTGGTAACCAGATTTGTCTTGACTGTGTGAATTTATTCTATCATGTGATGTCTGTTTAGTTTCAGACATACAATTTCTATGAGGATATTAGGTGCAGCAGATGTACTTTTTCATGCTCTTGACAGCCACTCTGAAGATATTTATATGCATTTATAAGGTTCCTTCTCAGCCTTCTTTTCCTCAGACTAAACAAGCCCAGCGCTCTCAGCCTTTCCTCGTGTGAGAGATGCTACAGTCCCCTAATCATCTTTGTAGCCCTCCACTGGACTCTCTCCAGTAGTTCCTCATCTTTCTTCAAGTGGGGAGACCAGAACTGGATGCAGTACTCCAGATGTGGCCTCAATAGGACAGAGACTAGGACAGAGTAGAGGGAGAGGAGAACCTCCCTCGACCTACTGGCCACACTCCTCTTAATGCACTCCAGGACATCATTGGCCTTCTTGGCAGCCAGGGCACACTGCTGGCTCATGGTCACCCTGTCATCCACCAGTACACCCAGGTCCCTCTCCACAGAGCTACTCGCCAGCAGGTGCACCACAAGCCTGTACTGGTGCATGGGGTTATTCCTCCCCAGGTGCAGGACCCTGCACTTGTCCTTGTTGAACTTCATCAAGTTCCTCTGCACCCAGTTCTCCAGCCTGTCCAGGTCTCACTGAATGGCAGCACAGCCTTCTGGTGTATTAGCCACTCCTCCCAGTTTTTTATCATCACCAAACTTGCTGAGGGTATACTCCACCCCTTCATCCAGGACACCAATGAATAAGTTGAACAAGACAAGACTGGGCTGAGTACTGACCCTTAGGGAGCACCACTAGCTGCAGGCCTCCAGCTACACTACACTGCTCATTTGAGCAGAGTGCAGAGTCAACATGAAGTAAGTCTGCTTGTTAGCTCAGAAATTATTTATATATAACGACACCTCCTAAAAGGCAATCTTCTGTCCTTAATGTGGAGAAGGCTTTTGTTCTGTGAATTTAGGCACGTAAATGAGAAACATGAACTAGGAATCTCTCTTACTGTCTCTTACTGCAGTGTCTGAAGAGAACTAGGAAGTTTGCATCTCAATCTGATTTGAACTTCTGAGATGCCCGTCTCGCTGTAGTCTGTAGTGAGATCCGAGAATGAATAAACTAATGGAGAGGACAAATTTAAATGTCTTTTTTTAGTTGTGATATATTTGGGCATGTGATCTGTTTCCATTTTGAAAGTTTTTGGTTTTTCTCAGATTAGCAGCCATCAAGACAGATGTGACCATGCTTTTTCCACTCTGGAATTCATTTGAACACGCTAACATCACCCATCATTTTCTTCTGACAATGTGTACAAAACTCTATTAGTCCGAAAACTCTGCAGTCTCCAAGATTGTCTCTTTGTAACACTGCAGTCCAATATTAAGCTACGCAGTTGTGCCAGCATTTCTTCCTTCTCTACCTTAAGATGCAAAGAGCACTAGATATCTGAATATTTTATTGCTTCCTCTATGGTGTTAGCTAGTGCTTTTGTGCAGCCCTAGTTATACATTTTTTCACTGGAGAGTGTGGTGGATTGACCTTGGCTAGACGCTAGGTGCCCACCAAGCCACTCTATCACTCCCTCTCCTCAGCTGGGCAGAGGAGGAAAAATACAGCGAAAGGCTAGTGGGTCAAGACAAAGATAGGGAGAGATCACTCACCAATTAGTAACAAGCAAAACAGACTCAACTTGTGGAAATTAATTTAATATTTTTTCAGTTGAACAACAGTAGGGTGATCAGAAATAAAACCAATCTTAAAACACCTTTACCCTATCCCTCCCTTCTTCCTGGGCTCAACTTCACTCTCTAGTTCTCTACCTCCTCCCCTCTGAGTGGCACAGCGGGATAAGGAATAGAGGTTGCATCAATTCATCACACATTGTCTCTGCCGCTCCTTCCTCCTCACTTTCTTCCCCTGCTCCAGTGTAGACTCACACCCACAGGAGACAGTCCTCCACGAATTTGGCAACGTGGGTTCTTCCCACAGGCCGCGGTTCTTCACAAGCTGCTCCAACAAGTGTTCTTTCCACGTGTTCTTTCCACTGGGTGCAGTCCTTCAGGAATGGACTGCTCCAGTGTGGGTACCCCACAGGATTACAAGTCCTGCCAGCAAACGTGCTCCAGAGTGGGCTCCTCTCTTCATGAGTCCACAGGTCCTGCCAGAAGCCTACTCCATCATAAGCTCCCCATGGGGGTCACAGCCTCCTTTGGGGCATCCATCTGTTCCAGCATGTGCTCCTCCACAGGCTGCAGGTGAGTATCTGCTCCACTGTGGACCTCCATGGGCTTCTGGGGGACAGCCTTCTTCATCATGGTCTTCTCCACTGACTGCAGGGAAATGTCTGCTCCAGTGCCTGAAGGACCACGTCCTCCTCCTTCTTCAATGACCTTGCTGTCTGCAGAGTTATTTCTCTCATATCTTCTCACTCCTCTCTTCTGATTGCTGGTGGTGTTGCACAGTGGGTTTTTCCCCCTTCTTAAATATGTTATCACAGAGGCGCTACCACTGTTGCTGACTGGCTTGTCCACGGCCAGCGGTGGTTCTGTCTTGGAGATGGCTGACGTTGACTTTGTTGGACATGGGGGAAGCTTATGGCATTTTGTCATAAAAGCCACTTGTGCAGCTCCCCTGCTACCAAAACCTTGCCTCTCATACCCGGTAGAGAGAGCCAGTACCTCCTCCTGCTTCTCAGTGCCGTCCAGTTCTTGTTCATATTACAGAATTTGGATTAACATAAAAGTGGGAAATGACCAAAATTAAGGATACTGCTATATTACTGGAGGTTTCAGTTAATAAAAAGAGATCATTGAAGGTTCATGCATAGCTAACACATACTAACTAAACCTAGTCTGAAGTCATTCACATTTGTTAATAAAAATTTAAAACAACAAAAAAGGAGGGATAAAAGCCAGTGTTTAAGTCTAATCCATCTACAGTATGAAGTCTGTTCTGTGATGTATGGAGTCAATAAATCAGTGATTTTTAATTTCGGTTTGGTGGAATTTTCTGGAGGTGAAAGTATAACTATTTCGGGTTTGGGGTTTTTTTTTTCTTAATTTTGGTTTTAGTTATTTTTTCCGTTAAAGTTTTAGACATCATTAGCTTTTGTTCATCTAAAGTGCAATATAACCTTGTGTGACTGTACAAACAGAAGACTTGATATGAAACGAACAGTAATATCAGTGCTCTGCCATAAAAGAAATGATGATACTGGAAAGGTCTTCTATTTAAAATCTGAAGTTTTAAACCATTAATTGATAACAGTGGTTAAAAATGTAGGGGAAAATATCTAGACTGTACTTTCATTATTCGCCATTGTCTTTGTAAGGGAAGATTAAACCGCTAAGTATATTGTACTATTTTATTTTTATTCTCCAAATTTACAAAGAAGGTTATTTGGGTTCTAAATATTTCTTCTGCAGGAATGAAAATAAATCAATTAATTATGTCTACGAAGGAAATAAGGTTATATATGTATATGAGTCTTATTGTCTGGAAGAAACCATGTTGTAATATTGACTGATGAAGAACAGTTCTGTTTTTTGAGACATTGTCAAATTTAGAAATTTTTAATTTAGCACCAGATTTTGGAAAATAATTTAGATGTGGATATTCCCATCATCACCTTCTTTACCTGATGACTAAATTACAAATATTGAAAGTGGGAACGTGAGGTTCAAATACACTCTGCCTGATTCAGAACAGTATTTTCCATGTCAAATCAGATCACTGTCAAAGTTTGCTCTGTCTAATGCTTGTTACCATAACTGTTAAGTAATGGCTGTGTATGTAGGGTTTCCCTTCTGTCCTCTCTACAGGCTAAGCTAAAAACAGTTTCTACTGAAATCCTGTGATAACTGAAACAATTTCACAAAAGAATGTATCTTGTGAAACTAAAATGTTGATAACAATGTTACCTATTCTTTCCGATTTCCCTTTTTAAGGCAAGAGATTAAATGCTTATTGTTAAAGATTAAATTATTTCTCTACTAAACACAAATATAAATTTTTAAATCTATATTCTACAGGAGTGTATAAAAGCCAGGAAGCTCGGCTAATGCTCCACATATATCTCATTAAAGCTTCTTCCCATACATCTGCGAGCAAGCTGAAAGACGAAAAATGGGCTATGGATGGTTTTGTGAGTATATTTCTGCTACAAAAGGGAGAGAAAGATTTTTTTTGTTTGAAATCATGCTGGTGTTCTACACTCAAAAACTCCTGAGACATATCAAGTGGAACCTTGTTAGCAATGCTGATTCATTAAATGAAATTAAAATTTTATTGTAAGATATAGGAGATCAGTCTTAGGGAAAATATGAGAATAGTCATACTATGTAGGTACAATTACAATGCATGTTAGCACAGAAGCTATTCTCTTACATCTCGTTGAATTTTATTCCAACATATTGAGAAATTTTATCATCATGATAGTATAATATCAACTTACAATAACATTATAATATATATTATTAATATAATAGTGACTTTTATCATTAGGCTACCAGTCATGTTTTACTTTTTGTTAACATTTTTAGAAATACCAAGAAAAATATGAACTGTTACTTGTACGGGGAAAACAAAATAGATTGCTCCAATTGAGCACTAAGCCCATTGGAAGTGCTGGGACTGAGCTTATTCTTTAAAAGAAGAAGAGAGCACGTAACTGAGAGGAGGAGAGGTGGAGAGGGGTGAAAAGAAGCAACAGCCCAGGTGGCTGAGATGTGTTTAAACCATGAAAAGGAAATCCCTTCAGAGAACAGACAGGAAAAACAAACATTGCCCAAGATAATGCTAAGGCTGGAAAAAGCTGAGTGTGCTGGGGGCCTGAGACAATTTATTTGCCAGAGAAGAAAGTAGATTTTTCAGAAAAGAAAGGACCTTCAATACTTTGGATGATGATAAACACTCATATATACCTACTACAACCATCTAATTTGTCAAGGAATATGTTTTCTTATGTTTCACCCACTGGCCTTCTGATAAAGCACTGCAGGAACATCAATATGGGTGTACAGGCCAAAAGAAGAGAAGAGGTGTACATTGAAATGTATGCATAAATTCGTATTTGTATAACTTGTTGCACTGCTTCAATAATTAAAAAAAAGGTACAAAACCAAAGCAAAAAGTCCTTAATCACAGAATAACAGAATCACAGGATGTTAGTGGTTGGAAGGGACCTCTGTGGGTCATCCAGTCCAACCCTGCTGCTGAAGCAGGGTCACATACAGCAGGCTGCACAGGACCTTGTCCAGGTGGATCTTGACTGTCTCCAGAGAGGGAGACCCCACAACCTCTCTGGGCAGCCAGTTCCAGTGCCACATCACC